ATAAATTCATCTTCATCATTATCATTAATAATCAGTAGTGTATGTATGTGAGATATAAATTCATCTTCATCATCATCATCATCATCATCATAAATAATAACCAGTAGTGTGTGTATGTGAAATATAAATTTATCTTCATCATCAATAATAATCAATAGTGTGTGTATGGGAGATATAAATTCATCTTCGTCATCATAAATAATGATCAATAGTGTGAGTATGGGAGATATAAATTCATCATCATCATTAATAATCAATAGTGTGTATGGGAGATATAAATTCATCTTCATCATCATAAGTACGGTAATAATAGTGTGCATCTGTGTATATATGAGATATAAATTCATCTTCATCATAAATAATAATCAATAGTGTGTGTTTGTATGTGAGATAAATTCATCATTAGTCATCATAAATAAATCATCATCATCATCATCATCCTAAATAACAAATAATAATAACAATAATTAATAATCATTAGTCATCAATAAATCATCATCGATAATAATAATAATCAATCAGTAATCATCATAATCATCATCTTAAATAATAATAATAATAATAATCAGTAATAATCATTAGTCACAAATAAATCTTCACCATCATCATCATAAATAATTCATCGATAATAATGAATAATAATCAGTCAGTCATCATCATCATCCTAAGTAATAATAAATAATAACAATAATCAATAATAATCATTAGTCATCAATAAATCATCATCATAATCAATAAAAATAATAATTAGTCATTAATAAATCATCATCATTATAAATAAAAAATAATCAATCACGATCATCATCATCCTAAATAATAATAAATAATAATCATAATCATTTGTCATAAATAACTTATCATCTTTATCATCAATAATAATCATTAGTCATCAATAAATCATCATCATCATCATCATCATATATATATATTTTACAATAAATAATAATCAATCATCTTCATAAATAATCAACCATCATCAATAAATAATCAATCAATAATAATAATAAGCATCAATAATAATCAATAAATCATCATCATAAATAATAAGCAATAAGCAGCCATTATCATAATCAGCAGCAGCAGCAACTACAATAATAATATGATAAATGATAATCATCATGATAAATAATAATAATCAATAGTCATCAATAAATCATAATAATCAACAATAATCAATAAATCATCATCATCAATAATAACCATCAGTAATAACAATAAACAATAACAGACATCAATAATTATCAATAATAATAATAATAATTTATTTATTTATTTCCCACCTCTTCTCGGAGGGGGTACAACATATTGAAATACAAAACACAATTTAAAAAGAAAGATAAAACCAAGAGTTAAAATACGATTCTATAAAACCATTAAATGATATATATTGGCAGGAGTTTGCATTTTCCTCGCCAAGCCCTCTTCATTCCCAGTTATCATCCTTCTTTTATTGCCAGCAGTTTATATTCTCCTCCTTAAACCCCTTCCCTGGTTTCCATCCTTTTGTATTGGCAGCAGTTTGAATTATAGCAATAGCAATAAGGCTATATTTCTTCTGTCCCTCTTTATAGTCCTAGGCACTGAGGGCCTTTGCAGACTGCCAGGAATAGTGCAAATTGAGTCCACTTTTAGGGTTAGGGTTAGTGCTAGGGAATCATGGGAATTGTTTTTTTTTTCTGAGACATTGAGCCTTCTCTGTCAAAGAGCTCTGTTGCCACAATAAAATACAGTTCCCATGATTCCCTAACCCTTAAAGTGGACTCAATTTGAACTATTTCTGGCAGTCTGCAACCTCCCTATGTCTAAGGGGTTTAAAGTGTGTCAGCCAGTTGCCCCCAACAAGCTGGGTCCTCCTTTTACCAACCTACGAAAAAGGATGGAAGGCTGAGTCAACCTGGAGCCCTTCTCCTCAGTAAAAAACCCTCTTCCCAGTTACCATCCTTCTTTTATTGATAGCGCTTTATATTCTCCTCAGTAAACCCCTTCCTGGGTTTCCATCCTTATTTTATTGGCAGCACTTTGCATTTTCCTCAATAAACCCCCTCCTCAGTTACCACCATCCTTCCTACCTCCTTCCTCCCACCCACATCTGTTGGTGGAAGTACCGTCTGGTGTCTTTATAATTCCCTCCACTTCATTACATTACAGCAAAGACCCCCCCTTTCCTTATTATTATTTTTTAAACTTTGATTGTAGGATTTGCATAAGTGTTAATCGTCAGTAGAGTCGCTTTCATCAATAGAAGCAAATCAATGTCAATGCAGAATGAATGGTTGTTGGTGAAAAACTGCATCTCCATATCTAATCCTCCCCATGCTCTAAGATCATAGAGTTGTAGAGCTGGAAGAGACCCCAAGGGCCATCCAGTCCAACCCCCCTGCCATGCAGGAACTCACAATCAAAGCATCCAGCCTCTGTTTAAAAACCTCTAAAGAAGACTCCATCACACTCCAAGGATTTCCTAGGTCAGGCCCTTAGTCCCACAGCCATCTCAGGCTTATGTCAACCCTAACTTGACTCTATCGTGTGTGTTTCTACGCAAAATTTGTTCAGAAGATGTTTGCCATTGCTTTCCCCTGAGGCTGAGAGAGGATCACTTGCCCTAGGTCACTCAGTGGGTTTCATGGCCTAGCGAGAAATTGAACCCTGTTCTCCAGAGTAGTAGTCAAACACTCAAACTACTATGCCACGCTGGCTCTCAGAATGAATTATAGAATGAATTGTAGATAACAACAACAATGTAAAAAACAAACAAACAGCCATGAGTATGATCGTACAAGAAAAGGAAAGATATGATACAGGTTTGTTGTTGAGCATATTATCAAGGATTCAGAGGTTCTGAGGAGAGTCCGTTGTTCCAGTTCCACAAGTGATGAGCTGGAGGTTATTAAGAGCTGTATATTGTCATTAATATATTCCATGAGAGGATACCAACATCCCACAAATAGTAATAGCAAGTGCATTTCTATACTACTTATCAGTGAACTAGCACTCCCTAAGCAGTTTACAATGTGTAAGCCAATTGCCCCCAACAAGTTGGGTATTCATTTTACTGACCTATGAAAGGATGGAAGTCTGAGCGGACCCTTGGAGCCCTCCTCTGTCTACAACAACAACAACAACAACAACAATAATAATAATAATAATTTATATCCCGCCCCTCTGCAGAGCAATCGGGGCAGCTTACAACATTAAAATTTACATAAAGATATGTTAATACAATGTAAACAGATGAATGAAATGATGTTTGAGTCATAGATCTTATAGTAGGTAGCATTTTATCTGATAATTTCTCCATTAACCATACTTCCTTTACTCTATTTCACCAGTTTTCCCAACCTTATTTCCCCACATGGTTAAAATACATGCTTTCTCTTTCAATGTTTCCAGCCGGCTCACACACACTCCCTTCTTTTTCTGTCAAATCACAGCCACAGTGTAGCCTGGCATCCCTCCTGCAACTCTGGGTGCAGTATCCTCCCCTCACACTTCCATGCATTACAGTCGGATGCCTCTCTCTTCATTCACCTTGGGCACCCGTAACACGGCCTCACTACTGGTTCACAGCCACCATAAAAATTGTGTGCATGCCTACATGTAATCAGTCATTGTATGCAAGCAGGCATATATGCACATATATACAGGCAGCACCTGAGGGGGAAGACTGTGCTGGTTTTCATGTCAGTTGGGCAGTAAATTTATTTCAACCTTTAAAAGTTTGCTCCCCAAATTTTCAAACCTATTTTGGGAACAGAGTTCATCCAAACCACACACTGGGATTCACACACCATGTAAGCATCATGACAGGAAAGCCACTGGGAGCCATTTCCTGGGGTCATCTCCATGCAAAATCACTTTTGGGGCACCCCAAATTGCTTAGCAGCCATGCCCTTTTGTCCTCTTTCTCTCCCATTTTCACCATTTTTACTCTCATGGTTATTGTCCTTAATGTCCACCAATGCATTGTCTCTATGTGGCGCTGTCTTTAACACCAGTTAAGGTATTGTGTTTTGTATCCTGCTCCACACCAGTTGTGTTTTGTATCCTGCTTCTTTTCTTTACCCTTGGAGGGTACCTACTAAATGTAGCATTGGGAAAAGAGGGGCACAATGAAGACTTTCCAGCGTGCAACAGTGATAGGGCACATGTTGTGTAAAGGAGACTGTGGCCAGGGAAACTACTTAGTACATTCCTCGAAGTAGCCATGTTTCTTCCAGATTATGTTCACCCATCATTTCATTCAAGGATCACGTTCTTCATACAAATGCAGTGCCCTGGGAATCTGTGAAATGCATTTCCATCATCCCCCTTGTGCATGGACATTATGCATTCGATGTACATAAAGCTTATTTGTCTACTGTGCAGAACCTGGCATTGCATGTCCCTTCTCCCTTGCCCTTAACATGTGGGTGTCAAGATCTTCCTGTGTTCTTTAGTGTACTGCACATAATCCCTTACATATACCAGTCAGTTATTTGCCACATCATAGTGTATAGTTATGGCATTTCCCTCACCCCATTCTTTGCCATTTCATTTAAATAAAAAAAAAATCACTGACATG